TAAAAAACTATATATGCAGTGTTATCTTTATTTTAGATGTCAAAAGGGTTTTGCGGCTCCTGGTGTTTTCTTTTTTGTGGGAAATGGGTCCAAATGGCTCTTTTAGTGTTAAAGGTTGCCGACCCCTGTCCTCGCCTAATGGCATCCTTGTTTTGTTCACTATCCTACTTCAATTTTGTGTGTGTGTGTGTTTCTTTTCTGTTCCCAGGTTAATTACAGTTTTCTTTTAACTTTGTTTCTTTCACTGCCTCCCATCTAGTGCTTTATGCATAGTCAGTGCTTTTATTGAGAATAAATAATGCTTACTCGCTATAAATAATTTTCTTAAAAGATAGGCTGAGTGCACATTTGTTGTCTGTTTGCCATTTCTTCAGTCCTTACAGTTCAGTACTAACCTTTAAATCTGTACATGACAGGACAGCTGAAGGTAAAATATTGTTAGTGTCTTCTGCTATCTTTGATTCTGATGGCTGCCACTTTTCTAGTGCTGTACAACAGATACATAGCCTGGGACATGTTCTCAGATCCTTTATTATGAAAAATTGGCTATATTTCACTTAGTAGACTCTTTTATGACAGGATTTTCAGTATGTGTGCTAGCCCTATTAACTTGGATCACGACAACTTACTACAAAGGTGTGTCTGAGCTTGAATTCTTTTTTTCCAACATAATTTCAGGTGTCAAATTGCATAAGGTCTTGCTGACAGATAAAATATTGGTCTAAATGTTCTTGTTGGGAGAAGGGCAGTTCTTCATATTAAATTCTTTGAGAAGCTTAGGGCAGTTTGGTATTTCAGAGAGCCCTAAATGATCCTAGGGAGCTGGAGAGAAGAATTGATCTGGGAGCAGATGGCAGTATGGAACTGTGTTATTCTGTAAGGGGAAATGACATTGCACTAGCGGAAACTAAGTTTCAAACTAATTCACAAGAGGAGGATCCAGCTAAAGTTATGTTTGTGTAAGGATTGTGCAACTGGTAGTACATTGCACTCTCACAAGCCATTGTACAATCTTTTTCTTCTGATTTTCATTTAAAACACTTAGTAACAAAATCTTAATCATATTCATAATATATGTAATATCATAAAATACAAAGAAAAGACACAATTAAAATTAAACTAAACCATAATGAACACCCTGCATCCCACCACTGGGACCATTGGATTCATATTAATAGTTTACTCTTTCAGGAGGCCCTGTCCCCCTTCCAACATTGCAGTAAGGCTTGTGAAATTTCCAAACCTTTCCGTTTTATTAATATATACTCAATAAATAGATGCCAAATTTCATCAAAATTATTCTCATTTATAAAGCCTTTTTTCACCTTAGTATCACAACTTATCATTAATAGCTATATTCCAAACTTCTCTTTGCCAAACACTCAACTGATGACCATGTTTTACTTTCCAGTTCATAGCTATTATTAGTCTCGCTACTGTTAGTAAGTTTGCTATTAAATCTTTAATATTAAGTTGCTTTTATTCCCTATCAAATTTTGACAATAATGCAATTCCAGGATTTCCTTCAGTATTTAAACTCAATATTTTATTACTTAGTTTAAAACATTCTTTCCAAAATTTCATAATATATTCATATTCCCACCACATATGGAAATATGTACCCACTCTCTGGCCACATCTCCAAAATAAATTAGAATATTTACTGTCCATATGATTTAGGTTTACCAGGGTTAGATACCATTTCCATACTAGTTTGTACAAATTTTCCTTTATTCTTATGGACATACATTTTAATATTCTCATATTCCACATATTTTTCTACTCTTCATTACTAATATTCCTTCTTAAAACTGTTTCCCATGATACTTTAAGAGGATCATATTGATCCTCCTCTGCTAATAATAGTTTATACATGTTGCTTACTATTCCTTTTATCCACATATTGTCTTGTTTTTCCTTTTCTACTATCATGTCTTTAAACTTAGTATGATCTCTGCATCCACCATTTTTCTTTAACCAATCATTAGTCCAAAGTTCTAATTGAATCACATTAAATCAAGTGAGTATCGCCTTTATTTGTTTTCTCTAACCAGTATTTTAACTTAATGATTTGTTTATTCTTCACTGTTTTCCTCAGACTTTCTCTCAAATTTACCGGGAATCCTATTCTATAATTGGATACAATGGTGCAATTGATGGCATAAATATTTCCTTATACTTACTCCAAATAAGGAAAGGATTTTCTGTCTCATATTAATTTTTAACAAGATTCCCTTAAATTGATGAAATTCTATTTTAACTCACCATTGTGCAATCTGTTGGCACATTCTGTTTACACATCAGAAAGATTAAACAGAACTCTGCTACAGCTTTGTATTTGTATTTGTGGAATGACATTGTTGGATAGTGTCCAGAAAGCAACTAATTAGAGTAGCACCATGGTTAATAAATATATTTGTTATATGGAATAAGCTGTAGGTTTGCTCTGCTGAATAGTATATACTGGAGAAGTTGAACAGAGGGTGATCTCATATGTAGAAAAGCAACAGAGTTGTAAGTCAGTAGACAGGAAACATGGGTTCAAGGGCAAATGATGCTTTCAAAATGCCTACTTATTGCCAGAACTTTGAAACCAACTGTTCATCAAAGAAGATATTTTGGAAGCACTTTTTTTTGGTGCTGATCTTGTATTTTGCAGTTATCTTTTTTAAACCTTCTCTATAAGACAAGCAGTACATTTTCATTTATAATTGCTGTGACAGCATCTCTTATTTTAATCACTGTATGCATATTTGTTTCTACAAAACAATTAGGTGTAACAGATCTTTCTAAATATTAGAACCAATCAACCTAATCAATTGAAATTTATTACAGAAATCTGTAATAAAAATGAAGGTGCCTTAAAATGAAGAAAACCTTTTATATTGTAATAAACTAATTAGATGAACATATATACTAATGTTGGGATTATAGTTGTGTTTTGATTTTAGAAGTTCAAGTCCCTCAATATTAGCAGTAGCTTACCAATTGGAGCATCCCAGTTTCTGAGTTGCTCCATGTTTGTGAATGGTGGGAGTGTGTGTACTTGTACCTCCTAAAGGAAGGTCATTTATTATTTAGCAATCATTGTTCAATTTGTGCATATTTCTTAATTAGACCATGGGATAAATTGCTGATATCGTGCAGCTAATGGTCATTTTCTCTTCATATTCCTTGGAGTAGTGGTGCAGGAACTCAATACTGGGGATCAAATCTGGTCTCCATCCCAGTTGAGGGTTTCCTAGGAAGTCACATCTCCTTACTCCCAGTCACCTATTAGTTGGTGGCATCCTGGTTTTATCCAGTTTTTTCTGTTCTAAAAGGTTGAAATGCTTAACGGTTGTCAGTAAGAGCTTTAAGCTTAAATATGCAATATTTTCAGTATTTCTGCCCCTTTCTGTTTTGCCTTTGGTCCTGTCTACTACAGGAATGTGGTTCCTGAGAACTTCTCTTAAATACAGTTTGGTTCTCAGGTAGAAAGAAGTTTAAAACCACTGGCTTTGAGCATAATGCTCAAAGTGCCCTTTTAAATTTGCTCCTTCTCTTTGCAGGGGACAACTGTTTAAGGTTTGTGAAATTAAAGACCACAGGAGAATTTACTGTAGCTGCTGATATCATTTACTATGTTATTCCTGTGGCATTGTGCTTGCTAACTACATAGAAACAAGTTGCCCATAACATCCACCTGTATGGTGAGGAAAATTCTATAACACACTCATAGCCAAGCAAGGGAGTGGTAAAATTCTGTTTCTCATATGGCTGGCTATGATAGATTATTGGCTTTCCACATAATTATGTGTGCACTATTACTAAGTTCCCTCTATGAATCTCAGATTTATGAAACATAGCTGAAAGATTTATAGTGGCTTTATGGAATATTTTATTTAAAACACTATAATAATTCTGTGGGTATAATAGCAATGCTTTCAGAAGTGCAGCCTGTGTGTAATATGGTATTCTCTGAAATAAGTGGCAGCATGAGCAATTCTGGATGTGTAGAACAAATTTTAATGTGGTAATTGTTTTAAACCTGTCATCAATAACTTGAGGAAATCTTGCTTTCCAAAAGATAAAAATTCTGGTTGCGCCATGATGAGAGAAAATAGAATTTTTCCTACCAGTGTGGTTCCTTCTACTTCTTGCCTTCTACCATAGTTCAGTTATTTATGATGAGCTGCTGCGTTTTTCATAGACTGCTCAAGCAGTGCCTAGTGTTATTCCACTGATAAGTTCAGAACAATGTCATTGCCTCCTGCAAGGCAGTGTAATCTGACTTCTTTTCAATGATATGGCCATATCTGCTTCTAGTGATAAGGTTTCAGAGCTGATGCACACATCCACTCCGTAACGAGTTGAATTTAAGTTATGGCAAATAGAATGATATATTATTTGCCTTCACAGTACAAGCAGTGCAGTGGCAAGTGAAGTCATGTGTACTTTGCTTGAAAAAATAAATGTGCACTCATCCTGAGCTTGTATGAATTAAAATTTCTATTTGAGTTACCTGACTTGTCTTGAGATAGAGATTTTCATGATATGCTGCTGTTGCTGCTGCTGTTAATTTCAAATCTGTACCACCCCACAGCTGAAGTTCTGGCAGCTTACCGCAATGTATAAAACAAAACAATAACATACAATACAAATATTATAAAAACAACAAAGTTAGAATGAACTTAAAATTAATTTAAAATAGCTGAAAGTATAGTTTTAAAAAGACCTTGCAAAGGAAAAGAATTGCCTGGGTAACATCCTTAGGCCCCTGGATAGCCAAGAAGATCTTTAAAGATCTCTGCATAAAAGGCCCTTTTGACCTGGCACCAAAAAGATGGCAAGTTTGATGCTAGGTGGGCTGCAGCAGGGAAGTAGTTCTATCACAGAAAAGGGCCTCCTCCTTGTTATCACCCTCTGAGCCTCCCATGTGGTTGGGAGGGGCACTCTTCGGGTATTGCAGTCCTAAGCTGTGTGGGACTTTATAGGTTAAAACCAGCACCTTGAATTGGGTGCACCAGCATACAGGCAGGCCAGAACCAGTCTTATATGATCAGATCTACAGATCCCAGTTATTAATGTGGCTGCTGGATTCTGCACCAGCTGCAGCTTCTGAAACATCCTCAGGGGCAGCCTCACATGGTATGCATTGCAGTAATCTATTTTAGAGATTACCAAAATGTAGATTACTGAAGCCAGGCTCTCTCTGTCCAGATGGGTGTGTATCTACGTAAGTGAAGCTTGGTTGAAGGTACTCTAAGCCCCTAAGGCCAACTGAGTTTCAAGTGACAATGATGGATCCCCAGGCTAAAAACCTGCTTCAGCAATGGGAGTGCAACCCCATCTAGAAAAGGTTGAACAGCCTCCATCCTATCAGGGCAACAGGCATATCAGTCTTGTCTGGATTGAGCTTCTCTTGGTTTGCCCTTACCTAGTCCATTGTTGCAGCCAGGTGCTGGTTTTAGCACATACACAGCCTCACCTGCTTAAGATAAAAGGAGAAAAAGAGCTGCATGTCCTCAGCATACTGATGGTTATGCACTCCAAAACTTGAGATGATCCCACTGAGAATTATCATGTAAATGTTCAATACCATGAGGGACAGAACATGCCCCTGAAGAACTCCATGGTGGAGAATCTCTGTGGCTGAACAGTTCTTCCCAAGCATGACCTTTTGGAGATGGCCTCCAAGTAGCAGCCAAAGTGCACCCAACTCAGACAGCCACCCCAGAAGGATACTATGGTCAATGGTATTGAGAGCTTCTGAGAGGTTCAGGAGCATCAACAGGGTCACATTCCCCTGTTTCTCTCCTGGCCATAGCTCATCATATAGGGTGATCAAGGCTGTTTCCATGTCCAAACCAGGCCTGACCCCCAACTGAAATGGATCCAGATAATCAGTCTCATCCAAGAGTGCCTGGAGTTGATTGGCAACCACCCTCTCTAGGACCTTGCCCGGGAAAGGGTTCTTTGCTACTAGCCTAAAGTTATCTTTGAACTGTACCTACTGAAACTTATCCAATAAAGATGGACCAGGCTGTGCTCTGGATATCTCCACAGATTAAGAAAGGTTTATAGAGCTATCCTGATCATACTATGTACATTTATTTTCAGGGTGCTCCATGGTTTGATGCAGTGTATTTGGCTTCTTGCTATCTGCCATTTGGGAAGTCATATGGGAAGTTATAACATGTCCTAGCCCAATAACTCAGCTACTTCAATCTTCTAGGTTATGGTGGAAAACTCTGATTTTACTCCATCACAAGTTGGATGTCTTTTCACTTTCCTTGCCCGGCAGCTGGCTAAACCCAACAACACATTGTTTGTGAACAGGACACTTTTTGACCAGGTAAAACGGGGAAGCACAAATGAGAGGGGAAGGCCTGTCACTGACGTTGTTTGTAAAATCCCTAAAAACGTATCACTTGCTTTTCTTATAACATGATAGAATTGTTCTTATTACTTCAACTTATATATGGTATATTAGAAAGACTGGGATAAATGTGGAAAAACCATTGGCAGTAATTTTTAAAGAGTATGTGAAGAAGTGAGAGACATATAAGAGGATTGTCAGAAGAATTTGGTTGCCGTATTGCTCTCTTAGCCAACTTTGCACATCACAACATTAAGTTTAGGTATTGTGCAGATTGGATTGGTTTTCCAGAATGTTACAGTAGTGCTAATGTATCTTTCATCTAAAATATTACTGAGATGAGTTGGTGTACTTTGGAAATGGAAATAAAATATATATAGTAATGTTCTCTTTCTATCCAGGTCCTTGAATTTCTCTGCAGTCCTGATGATGATTCACGACACTCTGAAAGACAGCAGGTATGAATCCTTACAGGAATAATTCATGCTGTGACACATGGTGAAGGAAGGAAGGAAGGTCACTGGGAAGAATGACTAACCTGTACAGCAGAAATGCTAAGACTGGCACTCCATACTGAGAAATCAGCAGCAGCAGCAGCAGCTGGAAAGCCAGTTAATGCAAACTGATTATTTGAATTAAGTAATTGCATTACACAGTTATTGAATGATTGGTATTTGAATAGTTTCATAGCTGTGCGGATTGGTCACATGAAAAACACAAAATCATGCATTATGATCAAAGGTAGGCCATAGTAATGGCCATGCTACACCATAACGTATACCCAGCCCTGGTGTCTGCACTGTGGCATCATTTTCTGTTGGCAGACTTGCCGCTGATGTCAATAATATTAGTGGATTTTATTTAAGAGAAAAGGCACCTGCTTGGAGTGTATGGATGCCATCTCTCATATACAGTTCGCTTTCCTCATCAGCTTGGTGAACTCAGTTCCTGTATTGTGTGAAGACAAGGGCTCAAATGTAGAATATGGAGCTCAGTGCTTGACTGATATCTTTCCAGTCTTGTTTTCAGTTGTCCAGCTCAGGAAGAAAGTGGGGAAATACAAAATTGTGAAGGGGTGGAGGAACTAAGGCATGGGAGTGAGAATGCCACAGGCTGTGGATGAGCTGGAGAGGATTGGAAAATGGATGGAAAGCTGCCTTATGGGCAGGATATATGCAAACATGAAGGCAGGGAAGAGTTAATGATAAGGAACAGGTAAGCTGCAGAGGATTTGGATCAGGTTTAGGAAGACCAAAATATTTAAGCCAATCCTCCAAAACATGTTGACCCAAATTACATTATAGTTTGCTTTTTCTAAATAATGTTATCTGTGGTCAAGACACCTGCGTAAGAATCAAAACATAATCAGAAGTATCTGGAGTTTATCTGATGCTAAGTTGTGCTAATTCAGATTTCAGCAGAGAAATCTATGTAAAAGGAATCTCCTAGCATATTCTTATCTAAGGAGAAAGTTTTAGCAGGTACAGGCAACCTGGTTTCCTCCAGTTGTTTTGGAGTACAACTCCAATCATATCCAGGCATCTTTGGCCAATGCTGAGAAATTGTGGGAGTTGTAGTCTAAAACTACATGGAAACTACTGGGGAAATGGTTGGCTACCCTTGATATACAAGTACCTCCCTGAAAGACACAGGATGAAAAAATGCCACAGGATTCTGTTTGGGAGGAGAAAAGTGCCCTAAATAGAAGTGGGAGAAGACATATTAATGGCAGAGTAGTACCTGGAGGCACTACATTTAGCTCTTCTTGTCTAAAAATGCTTAAGCATTGAGAGATTGTGATTCTTCAGGACAAGCTTTAATTGTCTGGGCACTAACAATACATACACTAATTATTTCATGCTAATAGGTTCTTCTAGAATTACTTCAAGCTGGAGGCATAGTACAGTTTGAAGAAAGCAGACTAGTTCAAATGGCAGAAAAAGCAGAATTGTAAGTTTTTTCCTGTGTTTTCTGTTTCACCATTTTTGTCTCTTCTTTTTACACTTTTAATTAGTCCACCTTTTCGGATTCTCCTCAAGCCACACCCTTTGTTCTGTCAGCAATATGTTCTTATGTGAAAAATAAACTTAATCTGTTTTCATATAGTGTTGATTTTGCAGGGGTACTTTGCGGAAGAGAACCTGGAATCTATAGCTTTCCAAAGGGCATACACCAGCATCCCGCATTGCCCACCGTTTGCAAGGATGCCACCATGTACTCGGCATTGCTCTGGCTATAATTTTGTTATTTTGTATCTCTCTAGTTCTATACAGATGTTCTCAGTAGGGTGCCTAATGAGGATGGGTCTATTACTCCTGCAATTTCATCCAAGCTAGCTAAGGCTTGAAAGCCCCAGACTGACATTATCTGCAGGAGATGGATGGAACTAAGGAAAGCACATGGGGAAGTTGCTTGGCAACTGCTTTCAGCAGTGAACCCTGTGTTCATCCTCAGGTTGCTTTGTCATTTCAGCTGGGCCTGGGTTTGTTTTGCACACTTCATTATGTAACAGTCTATCCTCATGGCAAAGTTTCTGGTGACTAAAGCGTGGCCTACATCCTAGAAAAGAGAATATGTTAAGATGACCTGCTATTGCTTAAAGTTTCAAGAACGTACAGTGTTACAAATCAATGCAGCTTCAGCCTGTTAGCCTTAGAATTTGCTTACTATTTGATTCTAGTATTAAGGCTGTTTCTATCTTCCCCCAAACTACTTTCATGGGAGCAAATGCTTGGTCCTAGTCTGAAAAATAGCTGAGGCTGCCCTCTTACACATACCTATCTGGAAGTAGCCTCCATTGACTTCTGTAGAGTTTATTTTTGAATAGCTATGCATAAGATTATACTGATATTGGCTAGGAAGGGTTTCTGTATTAAAAAAAATAATAAGAAACATAGTGGGAGGAAACTGCTTTAAGGTCTGGGATATTTCTATTTGCCCTAACCAAAGTTCTGAACTTTCCTTGAAAATCTGGTCATGAGGTCCCTTCCAAGAAACCACATAATTCATGCAGCCTCCTTTATGAAATTAGAGATTGATTGTGATTATTAGAGAAATAAACATATATCTGATTAACAGAGATACTGCAAGAAAATTGCATAAAATGTCAGTATAAAGGATTATTTAAGCTCTTCCAGCACATTCTGCTGGCCCTTGATGTCCTATCAAGAAAGGCTAAAAAACATGCATGCTCATAGCTGGTTAGGTATTTAACGCTATTTTAACGTTTTTCTGATTTTATGTATTTATTGTAGTTATCTGTTTATGGGGTGCCCAGAGAGCTTTGGCTGTGGGTGGTATAGAAATGAAAATAATCATAATCATAATCCTAAATGTGTCTAGCACTCTAAATGTTACTGACTACATGGCATCTAGCACATCTAAGCCATGAAACTGCTCAGCAAACCTTCATGTCTTCTAGGTCACATTTGTATGATAACCTACTCTTTGAGTAAACCACTCTTTGTTCCTGCCAGTCAAACAGATACACCGTGACCTGTTCTACCACCTCTTTCTCCCTTAGCCCTTCCCAGTGTCTTGCAACAGAACCTGTCTTGCTTCCCAATTCACACTGTGATTGCCACCCCTTTTCATTTGCCGCTGTTTTATTTTTAGAATCTCGAAAAGGTAGTTTTGGAGTCATCGTTGTTTTACATTTTAGCCTCAAAAATTGCACAAATGGGGTGTTTTTCTGTGGTCCTTTGAAAATGTATAGGTGTGCTTTTATGACCAGATATAGCTTTGCCTGGTTGATTTCTTTGTATGTTGTTAAAGGGAACTGCAAGGTGGAGTAGGTAACAGATAAGGAAAGCGGTAAGGTGAAATTATATATAGGTTAATTTGAGCTGCCATGTTGAAAAGCACCCAGAAAAGTGTGTGTGTGTGGAGTGGGGAGGGAAGTGGCAAAGCTAGGTGTACCAGATGCAAGGGGAAAATATCTTACAATTAGCAGTGCAGTTCTCTCTATTTTAAGTCCTGAACTGACACCTCTTAGTGCTTGCTGTTCTTTCAGCGCTTCCCTGATTTTCCTGCTACTTCAGAAGGGGAACATGTTAACTCCCCACAACTCATCCTGGCTTTCATGGCTCTTTATTGCAGTACTTACTGCTGCAGTTCCCTGGCAGCACATTTTGGACAGCTATAAAAGCACAACTGTACTCTTGCAAAAGGCAAACAAAAACAATAACAGTAATCAATAGCTCAACATGAGCAGTACTGGGTCGCAGTTTTCTGTGACTGGAGCAACGGTGAACCAGTAAGGCCACTTCATAATGTTGCTTAGGCATCAATGGAGGGGCTGATGCTGGTAGCAGAAAAGCTAAGTTTGTCAAGAGCAGCAGGGGTGATAAGCTGACTGGACCTCCACATCCCCAGTGCCATAGACTAGGGATGGATTCTCTGAGATCATACGTAGGTAAATTAGGGACCTAGGGAGGCCCATCCTTCCACCTCACACAGACATTTACTTTTGACAGGCTTTTGACCTGTACATTTCAAGTACTTTTTAAACTGTTTCCCCTAGAGATATTTGTTCATCAGCTCTTGTCTTTTTACCTGGAGCATATCTGTATTGCTATGATATTGATGTCTTAAATACTCCGTCAGCCGCCTTGCATATTGTTGGTTTTAAAGGGAATAACTAATTAGAAATTTTGAAAAATTGGGTAATTGATAGCATAATGGAAGTTTAGTGAATTATTATGGATAATAACACTGACACTGAGTAACTGCAACTGCTCCAGGTTGCAAAGGTCATACATATTTTAATTTGAGAATCCCAGTGGGAAAAATGACAGATGAAATAGTGTCCCTCCAGCAGACTCGATTAGGAAAGGGATGGCTATCAGCTTCCTGTATGAAAGAAGCAAGGTCAGACGAAGAAAGCAAAGCCAGCACATGCTCTCTCTCAGTTTCTTTCCCCACACCGCCTCCCCTATTATAAGTTACTGGCTTGGCAAGTTTTTAACGAAACAGTCATTTACATTAAACCAGTCTGATATTACCTGTCATAGCTAGCATAACTCAGGCTTATCACATCATATATATTATTTGTTCATTTATTACATTTGTAACTGCTTTTCTCCCTCTTTCTATATAGTTTCTATATAGTTATTTCTATATAGAAATATATAGTTTCTATATAGTTATTTCCATTTTATCCTCACAACAACTCTGTGAAAATAGGTTGGGCTGAGAGTGTGTAACTGGCCCAAGGTCACCCAGTGAACCTCATGGCCCAAGTGGGGACTAAAACCCAGACATCCTGAACCACAATCCAACATTCCAGCCACAGCATCCCACTGGCTCTCATTTGTGTACTTGTGTATATTTAGGTACTATTTGTGTACTTAAGTATTTGTGTGCTTAAAATGTGTAATAAGTAATGCATTGTGTGTATCTAGCGCTTAAGTATTAAGATGAAATGGGAAGGACATGGTGCTAACAAAACTGGTACTTTTTTCAGGCTCTGCTATGTATGAAAACTATAGGGCTCTTTAAATATTCTACAACTTAAAATGAATGAATTTGTTTTATTTCAGCTATCAAATTTGTGAGTTTATGTATGAACGGGAACATCGCTATGATAAGATAATTGATTGCTACTTACGTGATCCATTGAGAAAGGTAAGGCTGAAAGGATGCAAAAGCAATTACAGAGAGATTCCAGATGAAATCTAGTTTCTTTTCCGTTTTCATCTTGGCCTTCAGTAGATATGGGGTTATATTGTTTTGTGTGTATGTTCTGGGGAGGGGGAAGCTAGATTTTCAAGGAGAGGCTTACATGTGAGAATAACCTCCAAAATGCTTTATGACACATACTCATTTCCTTTTTGTGTAACCATGGAATGTTACAAAGAATAATATGGCAGTCAATGTTTAGATTTGTTAGGGAAGTACACTGCCAAATTAGAGTGTAATACTTTTCATCCTTCACATGTGTTACCTTAAAGGAAGAAGTTTTCACCTATATCCACAATATACTCTCCATTCCTGGATATAGTACAGAAGAAAAGCAGTCTGTGTGGCACAAAGCTATGAAGCACATTGAGGTATGACTTCGATTAATTGATTATACATTTAAACCTAATTTATATGCAGCTATCCTAATGGTGTCCTATATGCAGTTTGTACTGCATGCCCTTTTTGCATTATTTATTTTGTTTGCAAATAGCCCTTTTCAGAAGACACTCAAGGTGATGTTCAAGTTTTAAAAGCAAAACTTAAAACAATAAAATTATAAAGTACAGTACAATAAAATACAATATAATACAAATCAAGAGGTGGGGAGACATTCAGTCTATCTCATTGTTTAGGAGAGTAACACAAAGTTAATATCTGTCTTTTTTGCCAAGTTTTTATAAACAGGTAAGGCATAAGCAATCCTCCAGGCTTCACCTTTAGGACTAGGCCTAAAGAATACTATAGAAGACAGAACCACTATAGGAATATCCAAGGATCCTTCTCCCCCTGTTTGGGACATCATGGATTCTGTCCCAGGATGTGGATCTTTCAGTGGCTCCAGGACTGAGCCTTTTTCAGAAACAAGGTGAAGTCCACCAACCACCTCTATGGCTATTCATACCAATCCACCAACAGTGGGTTGATCATGGAACAAAATTGTTGAAGGCAAGGGCAAGAATTCAGAAACTGCAGTAGAAAGTAAAGGAAAAGAGAAAAAATCACCTTCTGCTCAGTCTTTGGCACAAGTCAAGGGCAATGGCAGCAGAAGACTTGCTTGCAGAGCTAATGTTACCCTGCAGTGAGTGGGAACAATATGAATCTTGGTCCAGTGTATACACATGCCTCAGAAGAGAAATTATATTGCAAACCCAGCAAGCCCTGAAAGTAGAACTTGGAGTTGTGTGTGCATAAAACTATATAATAAGAAGGAGTACAACTGTATGTCAAGCTGCATTATGACTTGTACTATCGTGGGAGCAATAAGAACAAGAAAAAAAACATCTTAGTAGAGGTCACTACGAATTCTGCTGAGTGCAGCCAGAAGAAAATATTACCAGTAAAGACTAGAAGCTAGTGTGGTGAGAAAGACAAGTATCCATTCCCTTTTAGCCCCTGGCTACGTTCCTGTAAGATGAAAGCAGATTGAATGATGAGATTTTTTTCTTTAATTGAGTAATACCATATATGTAATCATCCTTGTTTCCTGTACTAGACATGGAAGTGTGAGCTGCTAGTCAATTTGTTAAAATGTGTAACATTAGATGAATGTATAGGTGCAGATTGTAGCCATATCCTTAAAAATAGATCTACAAATTAGTTAAAGCAGATTATTTACATTTAAACTGGACTTAGCTCTATCAACTTTGGTAGTATTCCAGTCTAAATTGCGTGTAAGAAATAACATTCATTCCGGGGAATATATTTTTGAAAATGTGTTTAAATTACAAGGCAGAAAATTTTACATTCAAATTATCCACTTGGATTGATTTATGGACAAAGTCTGTGTGCAGAAGTTAAATATGAAATCGTGTGTAAAAGCTAGTTAACTCCATCATCGCATATAAGGTGCTCTGAAAGCATTGTTCTATTAACTCATCGCCCAAAATGAAGATGAGTTGCTTAAATATATAATTTTCTACTCTGAAGCAATCATTATTGTCCAGGTTTCTGCTCTGTTCACTGAAGAAATAGCTGCATCACAGAAGTACTTAACATTTTATCTTAGGAGAATAATGATTTTGAAAACATTCCAAATGGAATTTACTCCTGAGTTTATTCTGGAGGATCAGAAACTTGTCTGTTACTATGTCTATAATCTCTGTATTAGTGGAAATACAAGGGCAGTGCATTTCTTTTCCTTTTCTGTTTCTCAGGAGCTAATATCTGTGTGTCCCCTGAAAGCAGCAGATCTGATTTCCATTCACTTCAGTGACCAGATTGAGGAAATAATTCAGAACCTCCAGGTAAAGACTTGATAAAAAGCTGAGTTGATGCGTCTTCTGTTTGAGCAGAAATTTCAGTTTATATTGGGCTGCAATGATGGGATTGAGCAATTTTCCAGAAGTTAGAAATTACCTTGCTGACCCCCAACAAATAGGATGTCTCATAAAAGAGCACCAAATTTGCTCCTCGGTAATTAAATGATGACCCCATTCCTTGAAAAATTGTTCTGCATGCTGTTTGCTTGGGATTGCATTAGTATCTACTTGGCTACTTTGGGTTGCATGCTTATACTTCCTATGAACTTAATGTTCTAATCTGGATCCCATCTTCCTTGGCAATATATTGTGAGGTGCAGTTGTGACTCTCTGCCTCTTGGTCTCTCACAAGGCTGCATGAAGCTCTTTCTGGACTTGCTGCACCCCCTGGCCCAGTGGCCAGATGAGAGAGAGAGAGCGCGTGCATGCCAGGCAGCCAAGAGGCCCAAGCTGAGTCTTTATGGTGCATACTCTCAAGCAGGCTAAATTGAGAGCTAGTGTGGTGTAGTGGTTAAGAGCACAGGACTGGGACTCAGACGACCTGAGTTCTAGTCCCCACTCGGCCATGGAGCCAACTGGGTGACTTTGGGCCAGTCACAGACTCTCAGCCCAACCTACCTCTCAGGGTTGTTGTTGTGGGGACAAGATGGAGGAGGAGAATGATGTAAGCTGCCTTGAGCTCTTTGTAGGAAAAAAGGCAGGATATAAATCCAAAAAAAAAAAAAAAATTCAGGGCTTAGGATACTGCTGGGCAAGTTTCAGCAGAAAAGAGTCCAAATTTGATGGAAAGTTTAGATGATAAGTTCCTGCTGAGATGATGGAAAGTCCTAGGAGAAATGGTTTTGGGCAGAAAAAGTGGATGTTCCCTGAAAAGCTGTGCAGCTTCTTCCCCATCTGAAATACAGGGGATTTTAGTCTGTAAGCCCACAATGTTCACTTTTTCATTCTCTAAATGCTTCTGTGCCCCTACCACCCCGCAAAAAAAGTTTGAAATCCTTCCTTCCTTAAGCCAGTCCTCCGTATCTCCTTGATTCTCAGACAAAGGCTGTCAGGTTTCTTAGTTATAGACACATCATTCAAGGTTGCAATTTGCAGCTGGTTAAGAGTGTTCAACTCACACAATCTATTTCCCTCTCTGAAACCAAGCGGAATTATGCTTTTATCATTCTAACATTCTTCATCCTGGACAGCCCCCAGTAAGCCTCCATTGGCCTGCCATCAGATGAGAAACAAGGCTCTCAAGCCCTGGGCTTCTCATGACTGAATTGGGGTCTAAACCATCCCAGTCCATTTCTTAAACTCTGATTTTAATTATAGGGCCCACAGCAGTGCTTGGATTAATCCCAATGTCTCCTTTTAAACATGGGATAAATATGTAGCATTGTGTTCTTGTTTTTGTTTAGTAGGAGCCCTGTTTAGATTCCCTAGCTTCTTAGCCAGTTAGTGCAATATAATGCAATGGATCCTCACAGCCTGATCCTGCATATATTTGCTTAGAAGTAAATCCTAATAATTTTAATGACGACTTACTCTTCAGAGGGGGTGCATAGGATTATACCTTGACTGGGGAAAGGGTGGGATCAGGTCACACTTTACAGGGGTATAATTTGCAACAAAAGTTATGCAAAGGTGAGAGGAGCTAAATCTCATTTCCTGCCTTATTTTAACACATTACATCACTGCAGGCATTCTTCCTGTTCCTTTGCTTACAGCCTCCGGTATGGGGAGTAGCTGAAGTGCCAAAATGGGCAAGACGCTGCTCTTCTTTATCACCTTCTGCTGTAAAACTTATACCCCTGCTTTATATATGAAAATAGTGGGTGCATGACAACGAATGTGTGCCCTCATTCCATCTAGTTTGGATTAAATAAATCTATTCATCATTAAGAAGTTACTTTCTGGGTCAAACATCAATAGACAGCTTTTACAGTCTTTAACTAAGATTATTTTCATAAGTATTCTATTGAATTCCTCTTATGCTTGTTGTGTATGCCACAAACATAAATGTTCAGCCAAGACAAGGTAGATAAAATGATCTTCTTGACACTAATTGCATTCACTAATGGAAAACTTGTCATTCAGCCATAGAAACATTTTCAGAGCAGTTGGCAAATAGATTTTGCTGAAGCGATTGCTGAATTGGTCCACCATTGTATAGAGTTCTGCTTTTTGCCAGGTTTATCATTGTGCTTTTAACAGCTTCTTAAAAACAGTGCAGGAAATTGAAATAAGTCTTCATAATTTTAGCTTGTTTTGGCAGCTTCAGTAAATCTCAAATCAGATTCCCTTCCATTCTTCTTCTGCTAAAATCAAATAGCATGTTGTCAATCTTTATAAGATCTTTATGGAAGGGTTCACAAAATTACTTATTTGTCTGTAAAACTTTGATACTTGGCATCCTCCCACAAAAGGTTGTTTGAGAACAGGGGCCTTGGCAAGAGATTATGTAACCCACTGGATGTCTTCCTGTTTTCCATTTGTAATGCTTCTATATGTCACTGGGCTTAAACTGGTAGACCAAAGCTCATGTGTGTTTATGTTCTGAGTCAGAATGAGTTGCACTGTGGAGGCACTGCTACCATTTTTGAAATTCTGATTGATGGATGTTTATCATGGTTGTGGCATGAGGAGACTGGTAAGAGCAGACGAGCTTCCTGAAAAGCAGTCTGCCATTTATCTGTTTTTCCATCATGCAATATCTGGAAAAGGTTGAGACATTTGTAAGGCATACTCATGGTTTACACAGGGTGAGAGTCAGAACACAAACTGTGATAGTATCTTAGAATTTCCCTGCACTGCACAAGTGTTCTGTGACAGGAAGACAGCTGTAATATCACATATGAACTGTGTTGTTATTACACACAGTATTCTAAGGGACATGAGGTGCAGAACTTTTGTAGAAAGAGGAATGCTTATTCTTTCATCTGGTAGAATTTAAAAAATGCTTAAATATCAAATACAATGATATATTCATTTTTCTTCCCCTGCGCTTGCTTGTCAGGATCAATGTTTGCTTTTCCAGTTTTTGAAAAGCCTGCTTGACCCAAGGTGAGTATATAGATTACAATGTCCATTTTAATTTTTGAAACCTAAATATTTTAATTAACATTAGCTTAAATTATTAGTGAACTAAGGAAACATTTCCCTCTGAAAATTGAGGGAAAGCTCTTTTGTCAAAAACATGCCTGTGACATGGAATGGGATACTACCAGGTGGATTGGGACTTTGTTACTCTCTGATAGTGGTTATCTTTATTGAATTATCTGAGCATTCAGTAGTATCATTGTTGAGGGACAAGTTTAATCTGCTTACCACCTAGTCTCTGGGTCCCATTTTCTTCCCGGACATTAAAATCTGCCAGAACCAGGCCTGGCAGAAGTGGCAAGTGCAGAAGTGTGGGCCCTTAGAAGTGGCAAGTGCTTTCTCAATGGAAGATTTAGTTCTTCATTGTGGTTTCTGTGTATCTCACACATGGGTGCTGCACCTGCACAGTGACTGTGTTCAGGAAGATTTTCTTGGCTTCCAGTCAGATTTTCAGATGGAAACAACCTTGGTCACCCTGGTGAATGACATAGTAGGGAAATGGATAGATGGTGGTGGTGGGTTTTTCCTGGACCTCCCAGGTGTCTTCAGAACCATTGAACATAGCTTCTTTGGGGTCAGCTGGCCAGAGTGGGCCTAGAAGGCCAGAATGGCCTTTAGTCTTTCCTGGCAGGACATATGCAGTTGATTGTGCTGGGAGAGCTTTATATTAGGCACAAAAGATGGGGCCTTTTCAGTGGTGGCCTCATATTGATGGAAGTCTGAGAGGTATATTTTAGCTTCCACACTACTTTCCTTCAGGTCGGCCTTTATTTCAGTCTGCTTTTGGTTGAAGAGTGGTAGGTTATTGTTTCTGTTTGTTTTTAAATAGACGTTCACAATGATTTTACAAGTTATAATGGATTGGCTGGACTGAAAAGTTATATATAATCTTTACACTTTACATATTGTTTGTTTTTAAATTGTTTTATTGTATGGGAAATTTTTTAAACCTTGGAAGGTGGCACAGAAATAACTAGCCTGAGCCATACTTTTAAAACAGTTTGTTTCAGCCTTACATTGAGCTTGCATGCATGCCCACACACACACTGCCCAATAGGTAACATATGGAGCCTTAGAAAACAAAGAAAGGATACAATTGCTTTTGGGGTTGATTCTTGGACTTTTCCTCATGGGTCACAGCTTCATTTTGAATTCCCTGCAGCTAAAAAATGCACATTACATTGGGGGTGCAGGACTGTTTTTGGCTGAGCCTCCAGCCAGGCCCATTTTGGGCAGAGGAGGTCAGGGGGCATGGCCCAACCCTTGATGGCCTGTCAGAGGGTGTGCTTCTGTCCCCTTGCATACACACTCACACCTGTGCTAGAAAGGGCATGGAACTCTGTGCCACCTGCTAGCATAGAAAGTAGCCTCCCTTGCCTGCTATCCCCACTGCTCGCTCTTGATCAGAGATAACAGGGATCTGAAACGCGAGTCATCATATAGGGCATTATGAAAATACTTCTGATTATTTGCTGAGACTGAAATGTTATACCATGCATAGTGTCATTCCATGCAATCAGTGTCATATCCAAGACAGGGCTGATTCTGGAGTGAAATCTCTGTTTCCGTCATTAGAATAACCTGAGAGCTAGCAGAAACCAGTGGTATCTGTGCATTCTAAGTAATATGTGTTCCAACTCCCGTTTTGTATTGCAGGAACATACCCTACTGAGGTTGTATTTGAAATAGAGGGAGGTTTGCTGTGTGAGCTGTAGCAATATGCATTAGTGATACAGCTGCTGATTGGTCATGGATCAAAGCGCTCCTGATTCTGTTTATTTTCCAGGGCAGTTCTGTAGCCTCACATTCCTCCCTCACCCCTCCTTCATTCAACTGGCCTTATACCTACTTTAGAATAAATCTCTGGGTAAATTAAATGTGCCAGACTAATCCTCTCTGTAATTCCATTCCTTCCAGTGTAGTTACACCACAGCAAGGTATCCAGTCCACTATGCTGTCACAAAATCCTCTCCAGCTAAAACAATAGGCTATTCTCTTTAGTATGCAACCCTTCTTTTAATTAACCCCAAAATCCATTGCAAGTGAGAAGTAAACATGTACACTGTTATGAAGGGAAACAGTTGGCTTGTGGGTGCATCCTTTGATACTTTTCTGCCCTAGGGTAGAAAATAGTATCCATGCAAACTCTCTTGACAAGCTTTGTCCTTCAGTTTCTACCTCATGAATCATACTACACACATTCCTTCTGGGACTTTTTTATGATCACTTAATAATTTGCAGTCCTGCTTTGTAAGTGAAGCCAGCTAGTGAATTTTCCATTCTTGTTGAAATCATTGACCATATTTCAACCTCAGAGTCCATGTATTGGTTTCATTTCCTGGCTTATCCATTTGGACCTGCAGTCCAGAACCCAGTGAACCCTTGCACATTACAGTGACTAGTAAAAGCCAATCATGCTCTATTCTGTGGATATTAATAGTGTATGATTTTGTTGTTTGCTGTGTACAGTAGCCTTCCTCATCTTGGGGTCCTCCAGATGCTTTGGACTTCAACTCCCTTCAGTCCCAGCCAGTAGGTCAATGGTTAGGAATGCTGGAAGTTGTAATCCAAAAGCATTTGGGGGGCATTATGCTGGGGGAAACCACTGTATAGTTTTCTGTGTTTATCTACAATGTGGCAGAAAAGAGCATAATGCCATTTATTGTTTCAGGGAAGGTATAAATCAAGACTTGTTTCAGCTTTCTCCCTCTGTTACTGAACAGTTTATTGACCTGCTGTGTCAGTATGATCCTGACCAGGTTTTAGCAACTTTGCCATTCCTGGATTCCTGCCGGCTAGAAGAGACAATTCAGGTAAAGTGGAAAACCTAAGAAATACAGTGGAACTGGAAGACAAATTAAAACTGTAAGGACATTTTTGCTCAAGTCTGTCAGTCCCTATCATGTAATTAAAGGGGTTCTAGGGCTATACTGGCCTCACCCTCAAAGTTATGCAACTTCTCCAGCATTCTCCCTAACATCCATGCATTGGCCTGAATATCTGAGCCAGTGAACCTCTATGGAAGCTGGATCTGTGCATGATCAGGGCTTTAGCTTCATGAAGAAGACTATTTGCATGGACTTTCCTAGCTCAAACATCTGCCCCTAACATGTGACTGTCTGGAATTGGAGGCTGAACCTGTAGTCTGTTATATCTATCTGTAGTCCAAGCTGGACCAGTCATTGTAACAAAGCATTTATAATGTGAAGTTTCAGTAGTCCCCCACTTGGAAATCCAGTGTGACCTCAGTATGCATTGTCTCCACTTGTACTGTCTAGTGTACCGCATCGGCACTAGTTGTCCAACACTAAAGGCAAATTTATTAATGGTTACACAGGGTTCTGCGTATTTTCCCTAAAGTTTTTGAAAATAAAAAGTATCAGGAGAGAAGAGAGGATAGATGATGATGGTGTGCTTAGCCCTTTATATGCTAGCTATTTTCTTTCTCAGACAACCTGCTTCCCTCTTTCCTTCCTTCTGTAATAGAAGATTATATGGGGGCCACTGAATGATCACTGATGTCAGGGTACTTGTACGTTAGTTACATAGTGGTCATGAGAATCAGTTTTGAAGCATTCAAGCACCCATTTCCTTGCACTTCAGAGAGCAGACCAGCTAAAATAACATTTGTGGCATTTTGTTCAGGTCACACAGAAATACCAACTTCATGAAGCTTCTTCCTACTTACTTGAGAAGAAAGGAGACATTCATGGTGCCTTCTTAGTTATGCTTGAGGTATAGTAATCAAGGAACTTCCCTTTACAATGCAGTGGTCACTGTGTATTGTCTTGTAGGTGAATACTTTCTGTTGGAGATTATAAAAACATTGTTCTGTAGAAATGAATGAATATATCTGTCACATTTATTTCCACTCATTTCCACTCAGTTTTTGGAATAACGTTTGCAATATTTTTTTCTGTATGAGTTACTTTTAAATTTTAATCTCTCACTTTTCAAAACCATATAATTATTTATACAATCATAAATTTTAAATTTGGCAACAGATATCTTTGTTTACTGCATGAACCTGGTTAAACTACATTATTTTTAACATGTAGTGAGGTACTTATTTGTGAAAGGATTTGCCACTTATGTTCAAAAGATAAATATGTGGGTATAGTGTAGCTGAATGAGGTGCCTATTCTTGACCTTTGGCTAGCAATAAGTGAACCACTCGAGACTTAAGATATTCTTCAGTGGTTACCACTGCAAGTAGTGATTCATTAGTGAGAGTAGCTTAGGATACTATTAATTCTGAAGTATAGCCCTTCTGTCCCTTGCCTGTACCAAATGGAATGATCACTCACTGTCAAGATTTAAATGGTTTGGGCTAAGTTACCTTAAGGACTGCCTTCACCATGCTAACTTTCCTTGCTTATCAGTTGTCACTCTCGCTAATCCACCATTGAAAGCAGACAGTAAGCAGGTATGAGGGAGAGGGCTTTTTTGGTAGTGGCCTCACATCTGTGGAAAAAGCTAGCAAGTAAAAATCATGAAGCCCCGTAATTATAGGTTGTCAAGAAATTCCTTCTGTGTTTGCCTTGCCTTCTGCTAAGTTTTTCTTTAATGAAACTGCTGGTGATTTTGGTAGCAATTGTTTTTACTATTGCCAGCAAATTATTTACTATTTTTGGAATGGGATGTGTGTGGTTTTTTTTTATTGCCATTGAATTGCATTGATTCTGGTGTTGTTGTTATGCTTTTTCATCTTGTGAAGCACCTTGAGAGAGGCTTTTGTACCCCAAAAGGCTATCTAAATATATGTTAAATAAAGAAGAAATAATGCTGATGGGACTAATTAAAGACAGAGAAATGGTTTCCTCATCCTGTTCTGCTGCATTCTGCATATTCCCTACTCTCTCCATTGAAAAATAAAACTGCTGTAGAAATCGAAGAAACAATGAAAGTCTTAATAGAGGGAGGATAAGCAGAATATCTGGTGATAAATCCTTTATAAAGGCCTTGTGAACTGGACTGATGTGAGCTGTATTTTCCCCTCAGTGGCTACAAAGCAAGCTGTTGACACTCGTAGGTGAAGATGAAAGTAAGTTTTTAAAACTATGTTCTTTTCTTGCTTTCATGAAGTGTGTCGTTTTGAATAAAAACCAGACTGTTACACTGAGAACAGAAGCATTGGATTAGCATTGATTGTTCTGTCAGAGCAAGTACAGACCTGGTTCCTCTGTCAAAGTTGCATTTGCTTCTCACTTCTCTGGTGCTAATCTTCATATGAATTCTACAACTTGTGTGATTATTTTCTCCGACATGGAATTTAGCTGCCAAATTACTACTTAATGACTGTTTGTTACTTAAATCTAGATTCAGTACAATTTCCTTCATTAAAGGATATTGAAGATACCTTAACGAAAACTGTTGCACTTTGTCAGAGGAATTCACATAAGTTGAATCAACAGCAACGGGAGGTAAGTGTATTTTGATGTCTAGTACTGAAGGGCTGTCCACCCACCAGTTATGAACGTCCAAATTAAGAACAAATCCTTATAATGAGTGAGCGAACCTGAAAGTCCCACCTTGTCCTTGAACAGCAAGTGGCTGCTGGCGAATGGCAGCCCCAGGCGGATGTCCATGATCGGTGAAGTCAGAACCAGAAAGCAACTCCAGTGGGAACCTGCCCCCTTCAGCAGCATAATCCTTTTACTATTTTTTTCCATCTTTTTATCTGAACTGATTTAAGAACTGTACTGTATACCTACACAGATACATGCAGATCCTCTCCCTCCCTTTCTTCAATACTAGTAGTTACTTTATTATTACTATATTATAATCATTATTAAAATGCTGTATTGTGTTTTAAGATGTTTTTGTGTATATGGAAGTTTCTTAAGTTTTTTATATGCTTTTTATGTATGTGATCTGACTTGCATACAAATTTGACTTAAAGTCAATCTCAGGAAAGGAACTCATTCTTAACCCAAGGAGCAGGTTTATTTTGCTTTTAATTAAGCCCATCTCCTGTAATACCAGGCTAAATGTGTGGCTGCTGCCAGACACATTCATTTGCTTCTCTCCCTTTCATAACATCCAGTAAAACTTACTTCCTTTTGCAATATTTTGGGGCACCAAGTTTCTGGATTCTGCCAATGGCAGCCAATGATCTGGAGTTGGAGAAGTAGAGTATAATTGAAGGTCAGTTCTGCTAGTCATTATAGAGGATGAAGAAGCCTTTCAGTAGTGCCTCTTATTTACCATAACACCTAGTTTGTCCCTTAGGTAGGTGCCTCTTAATATTCTTTGAGACTGGGGTTGAACTATTGCTGGATGCAGGTAGGCAAACTGGCATTCATGGAATTCCATTTTTGTTCTTTTCTAGGCACTGTGGTTTCCACTCTTGGAGGCAATGATGTCTCCACAAAGGTTATCTAGTTATACAGTACTGGGTCATTACTCAGAATGTAAGTATACTAGTCTCCTATGGTGCCTATGTCTGTCACAATATATGACCTTTAAATGTGGGTTTTTATCAAGCCAAGCTCTTAAGGTGGGTGAGAATGTCTGTAACTGAGGCAGTGCACAGCTATTTTATCAGGCATAACAGATGTGTGAATTAACTGCTGTAACTGTACTGTGAAGCTGATGAAATAGCCTTGTTATCTAATTTTCTTTCCCCTAGTAAAGTCTTGAATTTGACTCTAGAATGACTTGATGGAAAATATTTCTAGCTTTACCATTTCAGGAGTTCTTTTGCTTTCTAACATAACTACTGAATTGCCCTTCCCTCTGTACAGGTATTTTTTATTAAACTGAAATTCCTGCAAAAATGAATTGGTCCTTATCAGGTTCTAAAGAAATTGATCAGAAATCAGATAATTGCAGTACAAAATTCTATTGTATATTCTCTTCAGTTTGGCTCCTGTTGGCTATGATTAGTTATTTATCCTCTCATTTATTTGTTCTTCCAGTTTTGAAGAACTTGACAATGCAAGTGCTGAACAATATGGCAGCATTTATTGCCCTTCCACTGATTTTACAGAGAATTCTGCAGGTGAGCTATGAACAACATACCTTACATCTAAATTATAATCAGTGTGTGTGGTTAAACCATGTATGTTGTGGTGTTTCTCATTTACTTAATACATAGTTTTACTTTACATACATCTGTGTGGGGGCTGAAGGTCACATTAAACAAATTTAGTGGGCATAGTACAGTGGGAATTTACAGCCTTTATAAAAATACTGTTATTTAAATACTGTTTTGTGCACAACCCTAACCTTGATACAAGCAAGAATGTTAAGATAAGATGCAAACTGATGCTCAGATGATGCTTCATGGAGTTCTGCATTTTCCTTTTTGTAATCTCATTAATGTCCTTTTTGTAATGTCATTCAAAACAGATGTTTAGGGCACATGTTGGGTAACTAAGTTTCTGGCATAGACAGTTATAAAGATTAGTTACCTGGTGATGTGAAAGACCTATGTCTGAGACTCTAGGCAGCTGCTGCCCATCATAGTGAGCCTGTTTGTACTTCACAACAGCCCATATACCTTAATAAACCCACTGTGAGTTATTTGAGGGTTCACATGACATAACAAGCCATGGCAAGCTAGGTGTCCACAGACAATATGCAGAAATGCTCCCTCTAGGTGTCCAGCACAACGGAAAAGCCTTCACGAGTAAACTAAAGTATGGTAGGCTGTCATGTCATATGAACCAAGCCTGTATCTAGGTAGATAGATAATCTGACCTTGTAGAGGATAGCCTGCTGTGTTCTTAAGTTTAGCCTGGGTGGGGTGTTGGGACATGTATTTTCCTGGTGTTCTCCCTAGTTGCTTTTAAGATGAAAACCATCCTTCCTCATGATACAGGCTCCCTATATAGTCTCAAAATTTTCCCCAATCAGTAGGGAAGAATCCATTTTGGAGAGGATTTGTTTTGTATACTATTTTATATGATTTTTATAGCAAACACAATAAATATAAAACTAGCTGAACATACTTAAGTATCTTTTGTTTGCATCTTACAGTTTAAGAACTAATAGCTTTAAATGTCTTTTTTCCTTTTGCTATATTGAGTTTTGTCAAAGCTATTTTAGTTTGTTTGTCCTTTTATTGGAAAACCTTTTACTAAATCAATGCTCCCTGCTGGAGATACAATTTAAAAAGCAGTTTCTTGGCCAGATTATATGCCTGCTTTGTAGTCTCTACTAAAACAAAAGCCTACTGGTGTGTATCAAATCATTTTTTCTGGCTTATATTTGCCACATAATAGTCCTGAGGAGTAGTACAGCTTCTCTGCACATGATTTATTATTCCAGATCTCATTATATTACCTACGCAGGTATCATTTGTAAATATAGAACATTCATTCTATGCTTTGGAGGATTATTACTCTGTAATTTCTAATTGACACTGCTTTAATTTCATTTAAATTAGCTCTTAATCACACCCTAATCTTATTGTTTTCTTGTAGAAAAACCCATTTTTGAAGGGAATATGTAAAAGGTGTTTGCTCTCTCATTCCTGATTTCCTGTTCCATTAGTTTCACTTTTCCTTTGGACCCCAACATAGTGTTTTCTTTCCTACGTTGATGTGTTTTGTCAAATGTAATTTGTAGATTAGATGCCATAGTACATACTTAGAGGCAAAGTCTGAACACATGATTTAATAAGTTTCTTATATGAGTTACAGTACATATATGCAATATATATGAGAATAAACAAAACCAATGGGCAATAGGAAACTGATTTTATTAGTTATGGGTGCAGAAGATATAGTAATTCACTTTACTAAGTAAAACCATGTGTAACAGAGTAGAAATATTTTCTTCATCTTGAAGTATCTGCATATGTTTAATGGTAAACTACTGAAACAGCATGTGTCACACCTCATGATTGGTTGAGGCCTCACTTTTTGTTGGTGCTGTCAGTTGCTGATGGAAATAATTATTATTGGCACTTGAATAACAGATCCAGGAAATGCATAGCATGTTGTGTATGTGCTCTGAATATAATTCTGTGGGTAGGTATAAGAGGTAGATTATCCATTTGCATGAGGTAAATAGCAGCAGCATTCCAACAGACTGAACTATTGAACTGCCTCTTGGGTTAGAAAGACATTTTCCGTATTTTTAAAATAATTTTTGCAACTTCTACATGTAATTAACAGGCATTATCCAGCTGCCACTGGAATATTACTACACTGTTTTTTGCAAACATTTGAACTGTGATTTCACATGACATTATTTATTTATATATTTAGAACTTTATTAAATGTGATTAACGTTGGATTTGAATTCTAATTCTGTCTCATCCGATGATTTGTTAGCATATGAGGAATTTTCAGTAAAGTCAGGTTTCAGGAATGGTCAGCAAGCTGAAGCTTCAGGAATAGGAATAGATCAGTACCATAGAACATTCTAAGCTGTGCTTGAACTGGAAGCCAGATGGGCCTTTTTGTATATTGTTCCCACAGAGCAGAGCAAGACAGTCTTAAATAAGAGCATGGTTATAGTTTGGCTGGTTGCTTCTGCTTCCATGTTGACTGAGTTTGTCTTTTAAAGGAACCAGGCCTGTTACTTTCTGGCTGCAATATTCTGGGAATGGCTGTGGCAAGCTAATTTTGTCATGGTACAGGTCTCAGAGTTTGAAGAAGGTAATATGAATTCCTCTGAATACAGGGGAGATGATCCCTTGCTTCTTTCTGCAGAACAAGGTCCTGGGGAGATGGAAGTCTTGTGACTTCATAGCTGAGTCATGTCATTAGCTGTTCTTCTGAGGATAAGGAGTCAGGATTCTCTGCAGATGAGGAATCCTGGTCCATGACACATATGGTCTGTTTAATGATATCAAAATGGAACCCTATTTTAGAATCTTCAAGAATGCTGATCAGAGTAGATACTAACATTTCGGTCTTAAGAACTTGTATTTTAGCCTAGGGAAGGAAAGGTGTAAATTAGTGAAATGCATTGCTACATAAGGAGGCCCTTCATATTCTAACTGTGGGTGATACCTGCCAGTTGGAGGCTGCTTAGTTAAGGGTAAGTGAAAAGCAAATATTGAACAGATAAAGATTGGATTAACCAAAATGAAGCTTGGCCATTGCTTAATCTGTCAACTACTTAGTGCTATGGATATATTTACTTCTATTTAAATAATGTAGATTTGTGCTCAAATGAAAAACAGGAGCTGGCAGTAGTTTTATTTGTGTCAGTATGATAGCAGGTGGAATTTGTGTCACCAACTTTAAAGAAGCCTTCAGGTGAATAGGCTTCTTTTAAGGGTGTCTCACCTGTTCTTGTTAGCTTATTAAAATGATCGTGCCATAAATGTCTTATCAGTTTGGATTAATAAGGGAGATGTTTATAATGAAACATACATGTAAAACTTGACGTCATAAATTTATCAAGTAGTTTTCATCTGTTCCATACCACCCTCTCTATTTCCCTTTCTTGTTTTATTTCTAACTGGTGCCTGACTTCCTTTAACCTACACATACTATGGAAGAGTGTGTCTCAGAAACGAGAGTAACAGGCTTTCTGACAGATAAAAATAGCTTGCTGTATGTCATGGATCACGTACATGCTGTGTTAAGGGCCCAGACTTCCCAGTTGTCCTCCATAATTTATATGGTGTCTCAGCGTGATGTACTTTCTATGCTGCTGCTTTTAAATTATACATACTAAAATAAAATGTACTTACTGAAAACAGAATGTGACCCCCCAAAGACTCCACTACTTTTGTGTGAATGCACCTTTGGCATATGCTGCCACTTATAGCCCAGTGATAAGATTCGGATCAACCTAGTTTAAAAAAAGTCAGAAGTGACCAGGCTTAGGTGTATTCTTAGGTTAATAAGAACTTAAATGACCTAATGCAGAAGCTTCCAAGCAAACAGGTGTGTGATTGCCCATAGACAGTCTTTTGTGGCTCATGGCCATTCAAGTTCCTTTCAACTATCTCTGTTTCAAGCCCACCTGGATAGCAGCTTCCATTACATACTGTAGCACTGCAGTGTAACTGGGACAATAAGATAGAGAAAGAGTTCTTCTTTAGAGTAAACATTTTTTTTTGCCAAATTTGGTGTTTTAGACAATGCTGCTCATCAAGCTAGTCCCCAGACTGTTATTCTTGGACTATGACCATAGGTTGTGTGGATTTCAGGTATCCTTTAATCATTACCTGCTAGCCACTATAGCCACTGGTTCCTTTAGTTCCTAAATGAATCTAAGACATCACTGACATATTTTAGTTTACAAAATCAATCCATTTATTATTCTGTTATTACAGTACAAAGCTCATTTCCTTCCTAAATCTGTGCTGTACAGAATATTTTCCCAATCCCCCAAATCTAATTGTCCTTTCATTGGCTACTCAAGTGGTTAAATTACATTCAACTTTAAAGTTAATATTGTCTGGGGTCACAGAACACAACAGCCCATGTTCAAGGTTGAGTGTGGATTGTTGTTGAACTGTGGGCTGTTGTACTATGTGAACCCAGCTATACTGACAAATTATTATTTCTTAACCATGAATAATTCACAAAGGTAACCCATGAATTGTTGATAGGTAGTGAAGTCTGGATTATCCATGGTTAACAAGTCATGGTTTGTTAGCATAGTTCAACTTTGAGTATGGATTGTCATATGTGAATCCAGCTGCTGTGGTTACAATTTGTGTAGATTTGGTTTGCATCTGTTAGCTCCTATACTGCCTTTTTCTGTTGCTTAGAGCTCATATATCTACCACAAATTAAAAAATGTGATTTCCCGTTATGGGCTAATAAAATAATAATGATGATGAGTCTTGCTCTTTACTTTTGAGCATTTAGAACATGTTTCAGTAACATCTTTGGGGCTGGGGATGTTTCTACAACAGCTGCACATTTTTAAAAAATGAAGGAAGGGAGTTCCAACATCTTACACAGGGTTACCATAAAATTGTAAATAATGATGACCTGTTCGCATGAGGTAGCATGCTGCCCTGCTTTAATTAAATCTCATGCATCACTAAACCAAAACTTGTTTAGAAAAGAATTCTTCCAGCATCAGGCATTACACTAGGGAATTTCTACTCTCTTTGCTGCAGCAGTTGCATGAAGGATAAGAAATGAAGGCAGAACTCATCTGATGTCCTCTTGAAACAATCCCTGTAAGCACTGTCAGGGAATAATCTTGGAAACCATGGGCTCACAAAACCTCAGAAAGTGGAAAGAAGGCAGGCTTTCACCTCTGGAATCCAAACTAAGTGTATTTGTGATCATCTCAACATTTGATTTTACTTTAATGACATAGAAATATTTCTGTTTATAAACACTGGACTATATTTAGAAGATATTGATCTAACTATTTGTTTCTTGTGTTCTACCAGTTTGATTAGATAAGAGGTTTTGCATTTGTGCTGTAGTCAGAGTTAATATTTATCCACTGTATTAGGGTGCATAGTAGTTTCTCAGTCTGCTTTTGAATTAATGTAGATAAACATCAGTTTGTAAATTTCACTTAGGATCCAGTGTATGGAAGAGGAAAACTTGGAGAAATTCAGGGTCTTGTGCTGGGAATGCTAGACAGTTTTAACTATGAGCAGGTAAGTAGAATAAGCTTTTTCTTCCTCTTTAAGTAAATTGATATTAAACTCCAAATGAGGGATGCTTGTTAGCAGCTATCAGGCTCTCTAACCACTAAACACTTATTAAATAAATCTCCTGACATCTGGTAGATATGTACAATGAATGAAAGTGCCAACCATCAGGTAGCTGTTGCCTTAGATTAGCTTTACAAGAGGTCTAATAATATTTATTTATTTATGGCTTTTATAGACTGCCCATCCACTGGCGTCTCAGGAGAGTAATTGACCAGCATCTTCATATTAGACCTCTTGTGAAGTTTAGACCACTAACTCATTTCTGTTTACTCAGACTGGCAGTGACCCTCCAGAGTTTCGGGCAGAGGTCTGTCCCTCACTTCACGTTTGGTATTATCTACCATAAGCCTTCTGCAGTCTGCAACAAATAGCTGGCTGTTTCTACATGAATAATTTAGGTAGGGTCACCTTTTCTAACACAGTCATACCTTTGAAGGATGAGGTTCAGAGCATGGGTGTGCTTCTCTAGCTTGCTTTGTTGGTGGATGACAAGACAGTGGTTGCTGTACCGGAGCAGATCTTTAGCCGATAAGCAAGTTCTGAAACTTTCTCTGTGATCAGGGTTCTGCCATTGTTCCCTCTTTGGTAAATGCAGCAAATGAAATTCTGTAACAGCTAAGTCTTTTGAAGAGAGTTTGAAAATTTCATCTGGTGCAGAGTGCTGCAGTTTTCTCTAACTACAATCTGTAGAGCATATAGTACAAGAGTTAAACTGTGTCACACTGGCTTCTAAAACTTGCAGTTCAATGTTGGTGGCTGGGTTTGGAGCAGGAGTGCACTGCCTCAGTCCTTGGATCAAATCCAGGCCCCCTGGGTCTCAGCCTGTCTTTCTTGGGTTCCCCAATATGCCCACTTCTGACTACAATCATTTGGGGATTTCCTGGCTTTTGTACATTTTTTTTTCATTTTGAAAAGTTGAAATGCCTCTCTTAAAGATTTGTTACAGGTCGCAAGAGCATCAAGCAAAAACACACTGGCATTTTGGTCCCTCTCTTGCCTTTGACCTCTGCCACCTCTGAAATGCTTCTCCCTTTCCCGACTTCTCCATAGTGAAATTCAGCCCCCAGCTTGAGAAAGGTTCAGCTCTAGCCTTCAGCAAGCTGAGATCTTCAGATCTTAACTTTTAAATTTATTTTTCATAGAACAGCTAGAGAGGCCTCGCTCTATCCCTTCATTTTACGGAAGCAAAATCTGGTTGAGACACAGAGCAGCACTTATCAAGCTCATGCTATGGAGCTGTCTGCCCAGCAAAATCCACTGTGCTATTTCTATCTACTCTTTAGAGCAGACAAGTGAAAATCTTTTGAAGAGCTTTCCCACATTGATTGTATTGATACGTACTATTGGTTTTAGTTAACCTTTCTGTTTTGACTTTTGTTGAATTGAAAATGGTTTAGTTTAAGCAAAAGCAATGCCACCTTGCCATTCAGCAACAATTCTAAGTTGTGATCCAAACTCCAATATGCAACCAGCAAATAGAGAAGTTACATTTGAGCTGAAACTAAATTGCCACAATGCATAGTACAGAAGCCCCTATTCACTGTCAATCCCTTGCGGGAAGGCTTTTGATTTTGCCTACCAAATTTAGTTAAACTAGAAGCAAAGTTAGCCTAGGAAGCTTCTCTAGACTTTCCTTTGAAGCAAACCAGTTCCAGTTATTTTTAATATCTCATGTAGGCAACTCTTCAATTAAAATCTAGTCTTTTAAAAAGTGGAAGTAGTTGCTACTTTCCTCAGTTCCAGCTGACTGTAGGAAGGCAATTTCCCACTCATCCATCTGGTGGCAATACCTAGTCTAGATATTGTGGTATTGTCTTTGAATGAGGACTTGTGAAGATATCCTAAGAAAAGTTGAAATATTTGATCACATGCAGGTCATTTAGATTAGTTCTGAGAAATGGGTGCAATCAGATGCATGTTTAGATAGGAAATAAGTCCTACAACTTCCAGCATCCCCCAGCCAGCACAGAATTGAGCCCTTAATGCCTTAAAATGCCTTCTATCAAAAACACATGCCCAGTGAGAGATGCATCTCAACCATGACACCCAGTCACTGGGTTTGTGTGAGAGGACAGCCCACCATGGCTTAATTTATTTGTAGGTCCTGCTGCATTGTGCTGGTTCCTGCAGAAGCCATGTTTCCAAAGCATGTGCTGGCAACTGGCTTGCCATGGCTTGTTGCATCATGCAAATCTGGAATGAAGGTGATTGAAGATTAAACAACCTTCAATAAACCATGGCTTGTTTTAGGGTTGTTTGGGAGTTGTCTAATTTGCAAACAAAACCTGTTTTCTGGCTTCACACAATGTGACAAGCCATGGCAAGTCAGGTGCTCATGGGTGCTATGCAAAGTGATGCCTGAGACCACCTGGCTCAACATAGCAACCCCACCAACAAATTAAACCATAGTGGATGAACCAGGTTGCTGACATTCACATTCTCATGCATTTTGTCAGGCAATGATATAACACACCATCTAGTAAACATGACTTTTGATGTGAAGTCATTTATAAAATTAATATTCTCATCACCACCACCACCACCACCACCATCTTCTAGTGCTTCTCTTTGAAATTCGTATAGGTTCTATTGGTGAAGGCAGGGCCGTTGCCGCCTCCTCCTTTCTGCCTTAACTTTTTGACCCTGGGGCGAATACTTTCATTTTAGGACTAACATTATTTTCAGATTTGCTTCAAACTATTCTTTCTCAGATTACAAACATTAATATTCTGTGTACTAGTAATGCCTGTGTTTTATCCTAAGTGTACTCTGATCATTTTCTGAGCCCATTTCTTTTCGTAGAATTTGTCTTATCTTGGTTTAGTGTCTGATGTAAGTAACAGAGATAGCTATATGCCTGTGATAAAATGGGGAAGACATGCTCTCTCACACACACACATTCCCTCCCTCCCTCCCTCTCTGCGCACCTCTCTGCCTGAGCCCTGCTCCACTTCTCAGATGAATAGATTCTTTACTGGCAGCTGTTATTCATAGTTTAGTTTTTTGATCCCCAAATATTCTTTCTATAAAAGAATCTGGTATCCATTTTGGAGCCCAGAATAGAAAAATAGCTCACTGCTCACTTTTCTTGCAGTCCTGTTTTCCCATAGGAGCTTTAGATATCCACTCTACTCCACTCCTCAGAGTATAATTGATTTCTAGGGATGATACATAAAACCATCCTTGCAGCCTGCAGGAGGAGACCCATAGATAATGGAACTAAAGCAGCAGCAGATGGGTCTGTTTGGCTTTGGATGGCGTGATTATTTAATTAAGTTCCCTGAAAAGAACAGAGTTTTCCTTTCTCGGGAGAAAGTTCTCTCACACACCATCAGAAGAGAGAGACCTTATTACCCTTCCATTTCACAGCAGAGAAACTTTGGTGCCATACTCTTGCATTACTCTAGTGTTTATTTAAGAATTGACTTAGGATGCTTTCCAACTGTTTCCTTCCAGTGATATTGGTGCTAAGCAGGAAGAGTGGGAGAGGTGCTAACTACAAATAGGAGGCTGGTTGGAAGTTAAACTACTGGTCCTGTTTACACAGTTCACTTACTATATGCACATTAGTATTGGAGAACATGGTGTATGCAAGTGTGTGTATACATGTGTGAGAACCCCAGTAGCGCCATACATAAACCACATTGATGTGCCTTATTTAAGAACAACCACACAAAAATCCTGCTCTGTGGGTAATCAAAACGGGATGACCGTAGCCAATATTCTGGCTGGTAAATTATTTATGCACCTCATCCTCCATTTCTGCACAAATTATATTTTGGCAGCAGCCCTCCCTTTCTTTGTATACTTCAAAGAATGTGAGCCAGGCAGTGCACACCTATCCTAATTATATGGACTGGAAAGCCATAACTTGGGCTTCCAGATGGTGTTGTTGAGGAGGAGAATGCAGCTAATACATTCTTGGAGGAGAAGGTTTTGGAAAGAGGACAGCAACCTCTACTGCTAGCGTATAAAGTGGGGTTTATTTTCTGTAATCTACTACTGCTTCTCTGTCCCTTCCCATGTGTTTTGAGTGAAGGCTTGACTGCTACAAATACAAGGTAAAATTGTACATTTTCCAAAATGAGCTTTAGAAGAAGCAAGTTAGATCAGGCCAAAGCCCTCTCTGGTCCAGCATTCTCTTTGCCACATGCCTATAGGAAGCCCACTTGGAGAACAAGTGGGTGATTGTAACATTTCTGCAGAATTATATTGTCTTTACTAACTATTGGTAGAATTAGGCATATGATATATGCATGTTGAACTAGGAAACTTGCTTCTGCCTTCCTATTTTCTGGCTTTTTTCCCACAGGACACAATAGCTGATAGTGCTTGTGCAGGGAAAGGGGGCACAATTCTGCCCTGCAGCCTCACAGTGATACCTAGTGGCAGTGCTCCTGTGAAATTCTTTGTAAGCCCAGTCAAAGGCTTTTTCTGTATCTTTTTTGTTTTCATTTTTTTGTGTAGCAGCATTGCATTTGTCAAGTAGCCAGAGAGTTTTTAGAGAGCAAACTTCATTTTGTCCTCAATGACATCATATAGCTAAATCTAGCTATATGATAATATTTCTGTAGAGGGCAAGATCTACTTGAAAAACAAAAAAGGTATTAAAATAGTAACTGATTGGATCTGCAAAGCAGGTAATTCTGCAGTGTGGCCAAACTCTAACAGCCAATTGGAGCTGTTACCAGCAGTAAACTTAATGAACATAAACTTAATTCCCTTCTTGGTTCAAAATGTTTTGCCTTAAACAGTCAGTACAAGCCATCTCCAAATTTCTCTATACTTGGCTTGTTGTAATGTTAATTTACATTCTCCAAGTTGCCATGTTGGGAAAGTAATTATATTTGGTTCTTACATGTATGCTTGTTTGGTTTTTACCCTACTTTTCTCCTTGAGAAAAAATAGCACTCAAGAGGACTTACAATCACAAATAAAGCTTG